ATCTGCACTTCACACTGGTGCTTTGAAAGCATCAACATCCACCCCAGATCACTGACAAACCAAAACCGGTAGAGACGCTTCTTCCTACCGGAGAATGCATTTTGCTAAGAGGGGACTAAGAGGCAGCACGGGAAGAAATCCCTGACCCCGAGGAGAGTGCCAGTAACAGTGGCATCCCTGGGAGAAGAAGTGGGCAGCAGCTGATGGTGGAGGAAGGGGAAATAGGCAGCCAAGAGGAAATGCAAGTGGCACTGCCAACCCCAGCAAATTTCAGGCAGCAAAAGGAGGGGGCAAAGCATTAACAGGGAAAGAAAAGACGAGACAGCCAGAGGAGAGCAGAGCATTAATCACAGAGGATAGGAGGCAGCCTGGGAGGGAGGGATGGGTGAGAGTTGTTCTTAAACAAAGTGGTCAAATAATTTTGACCAGTTTTAGGAAGAAACTAGTCGGATTAAACTTGGTCTGCTTTTCCCAGACAACTCTCAATGTGAATGATTTCATCCTGTACATCCATTCAGGTCTCAACCCCTGCCAAAACCATCCCTTTCAAAAGAAACACGTGAGATTTGTGGCTGTGACCTGAGGGCTGGCAGACCTGAATTATTTTAAATCCCTTTTAGATGGTTTGAGACCAAGGGAATTCGTGGACAGTGATTAACTGCCAGTCCACTATTCTTTCAATTAGGAGGAGCCTAGCAAAGCAGGCTCCTTGGACAGCTTTCCATAAAGGCAGCAAAACGTGTTTCTTGCAACTAACTTGGCATAAGCGAGTGCCAGCATCCTGCAGAAACCAAGCAGATCTTCTCCACGAACTGTTTTGGTTTACTGGGCCAAATTCTGCAAAGATTGTTCCATTTATATTTGGTCCTTGCTGGGGAAAGGTTCTCGCAGAAGTCGATGCAGCAAATCTCTTCCAACTGTAACAGCCTGAATCTGGCCAGTGCAGCTACTCCATATTTACATGTGTGAAACCAAGAACAGATTTTGTTCCAAAATGCAAGGAAAGACATTAGGGATTAACTCACTGTTGTCCCCTGTGTCTCTAGGTATGTCAGTGGATACAGTGCACAGACCCGGTAAAAACCATGCAAAGTTGCACTAAGAAAGCAGAAACGTGAGATTTCTCAGACATGGCCTTAGAGGATATAATTAATACAAACAGCTGAAGGCATCTGTGGTTTTCTATTTCATGTCCTTGTCTTACTCAGTTTAAGCACTCTTCCTGCCTTTGAGGAAAGTGGCAGATAAATTACCCGTGAAACAGCAACGTAAGTATCAAATGAGAGTCAGGGAGTTAGGTTCCGAGTATATCCCTAAGACCATTTGTTTTAGCTCGTGCATTTGTCACGCTCTTCTAAAATTTGTTAAAGGTGATGTCGGATGCTGTCTGCCGTAAGGCAGAGAAGGCAGTGCTATTAAATGCAATCTGCTCTTCTGGTTCCTTTTCTGATTGCTTTGCAGACTCCAGCGGAGCGGTAAGCCCTTTCCATGAACCCCTGGCAACCAAGACGGGCTGCGTCACTTCCAGCTCCCTGGAGTACCTCGAAGTCCAGCAGCCACCTCCCAGAACCCCTCGGCTCCTCAAGAGACAGGAGTCTCCACAGCAGGAGCCGGCCCGGATCGGAGGCCGGGCAAAGGACTCTCCTCTTATCCTGAATATTGTGCACTCCTTTGAGTCGGTTGACAGAGAGGACCAAATAGACCAAGTTTCCCCCTCTCATCAGTACAGGATTTTAGGCTCGCCAATGAATTTCCCTTACAAAAGCTCAAGTGAAAGGACACTGTCCCCACTTTTTCAGCCAGGGAGTACGTCCCCCGTGCACCCCACCCAAGTCTCTTTCACATATGAAGAAAAAGCGTATCCGGCAAAGGAAGAAGCAGTGTCCCCTACTCAGCTGGTTTCCAACAACCCCTTGGGCAGCCCTAACTGTGTTAAAAGCAGGGGCAGATTCCCCATGATGGGGATTGGACAGATGCTGCGGAAGAGGAACCAGACGATGCAGTCGGCGAGCGACAAGCCGCTGGAAGCGAGGATGCCCCAGCTGCAGCAGATGAGCCCCACGCAGATTTCCTTCAATGCAGCAGATGCTGTCAGCGGCCAGTGTTAGTCTGACATCCCGAGATTTGCACTGCTGTTCTCTGGGACCTAACCTTTTTTACTTTTAGCAAGAAGGGAAAGCTGCAGGCATGTTACTGTCACTACGTAATACGCTTCAGTAGTCCGACGTAAAAAATTGGAGGTCTACTTGTAAGAAAGGCATTGTCCTATATGTTAAAGTTGAAGGAAAAGGGCTCTGCCTGTGCTGTTAAGAAATGTTAGCATTTGGCATCTGACTGTACACAATAACATGTCTTGAAAGAGCTACGTGAATATGTATTTTCACTGCTCTCAGCTAGTATTGCAGTGAGGTTGATTGGAAGAGCAGCAGGCATTAAGGGTTTGATTCATCAAGGTAATCTGCGTGGTGCCATGAATACCGGTCCCACCAGGATCTGTGGTAAGACTGCCTGTGCTCCATCTGCCTGTGCCACCCAGTACATGGTACTGCCACAGGTATTGTTCATGTGGCTACACAAATGGAAAAACTCAAGATATTATGTCCAAAGTCATCTTGCTAACAAGCACTGCCAAGAAGATGATGTTGGTAGAAGCTTGAATAAAGACACAAGGGATCTAAACATTCAGAAAAAGTGGGAGTATTTGAAGTTGAAGCAGATTTTATGGTTAATTACATAAAGTAGCTAATAACGGAATAATTTTTTTTCCTAAAGAAAATGATGGTTTAATGATGTCACTCAGAAGAAACATGATTATTTAAAAACAAGTTCCATCATGTGGAAATTCACCGCACTAGAGGCCTGTTCCTTTGATATTATGGGTCTACAAGCAGATGCTTCAAACAGTAATCCAGATTGCAACACGCTGTCTTTAAACAATCCAGTCATCTCCGATTTTTGCAGCTGTACCAGTTCCATGACACACCTACATGCACAACTGTGTTAGCCCATTACAGCATGGCAGCACTGGACACACCTGAAGGCTTTTCTGAGAGACTACAGTGAATTAAAAAGACTAATAAAGGACACATGAACCTGTACCGATGCTGTTTTATACTGCAAGATTGGTAATGCAGTGGTTACCAAAAATTTGGTATTGTAACAAGTGGTGAAGATTAACTTTCTTAAAAGGCACCATGTTCTACATATCAGTCTTGTTTTTCTAAGTAAATGATACATCTGAGAGGTTTGCAACATTTTTTTGGTTCTGTTTTTGTCTTCAAACCATTTCCTATAAATTAGAAGGTTTAGCCAAAGACTACTCTTTTCTTTTGTCTGTACCGTGCTTGCGTATGTGTTTCTGTGTATGGAATATCTCAACAAAGCTTGTTCCAGCCTGGTTCTCAAGTGGGCAGCCCTGGCCATGTGTGCCCCACTGCTGCCCACCCAGTTAACGTCATTTCAAAATCCAGGCAGCAGAGGTGGTGTTGTCTTCTTGGGGTTGTTGTTGGAAGATGACAATTTTGCCTTGAGGCCATCAGTAGGAATCCAAGCTGTATTTCATCAGTCTTTTTGCAAACAATTTTGTGGCCCCATTGGTTTGGTGTCTGTGCAAATGCTGAGAGTTACCCCGTCTGAGAAGCTTTCCTTCCAGTTTCATGAGAGAGATTCCCAGGGACTGGGGAGGAGGGCCAACAGAGGCAGGGGAGAAGGCAGAGCCCATAGCTGAGGGCGCATGTTCCTGATTCTCAGCGTAGCACAGGCCTTACACTAAAATCTGCAAGAAAAAAATTGGACGTTAATCCAAATACTGACAGAACAGATAACTAAACTGATCAGTATATTGAATGCTTGCTGGCAAAACCATCAGAGCGTGAATGCCCAGAGCACCCTTCTCATCCCTACAGATGGGACCTTCACCTTAGCACTGAAGCTGCCTGTCATAGAATCATAGAACAGTTAGGGTTGGAAAGGACTTTAAAGATCATCTAGTTCTAACTCCCCTGCCATGGGCAGGGACACCTGCCACTACATCAGGTTGCTAAAAGCCCCACCCAGCCTGGCCTTGAACACTTCCAGGGATGAGGCATCTGCAACTTCTCTGGGCAACCTGTTCCAGTGCCTCACCGGCCTCACAGTGAAGAATTTCTTCTTTAGATCTTATTTAAATCTACTCTCTTTCAGCTTAAATCTATTACCCCTTGTCCTATCACTACAAGCCCTTGTCAAAAGTCCCCCTCCAGCTTTCTTCTAGGCCTCCTTTAGGTAATGGAAGGCTGCTATAAGGTCTTCCCAGAGCCTTTTCTTCTCCAGGCTGAACAATCCCAACTCTCTCAGCCTGTCTTCATAGGAGAGGTGCTCCAGCCTTCAGACCATCTTCATGGCCCTCCTGGACCAGTTCCAAGAGCTCCATGTCCTTCTGATGTTGGGGGCCCCAGAGCTGAATGCAGTACTCCAGGTGGGGTCTCATGAGAGCAGAGTAGAAGGGCAGAATCACCTCCCTCGACCTGCTGGCCACACTTCTTTGGATGCAGCCCAGGATATGTTTGGCTTTCTGGGCTGCAAGCAGACATCACTGGCTCACGTTGAGCAGTTTGGTATGGGGGAGTCCATATGCATCTTGTACTCTTCAGTGTAGTGAGGACAGCTGCCTCTGGGGTAGTTGAGCTAACTATAAAATAATATACATAAAAATCCCAATATGATAAAAAATTAAACCTTGAAATAATTTTACTCGTTTTCAGATTGAAAAATGTCATGTTTTGTTTGTACAGAGCACGTGTGCATCCCAGTGGTCCATTTTAGCTCTTCCTTTTGTTTAAAAACATCAAAACATTTTCTTTTTCTTCATGCTAAGAACATGTTTGCGTTGCAAAGCTAGCTAGTGGGGACCACTGAAATCCCGTCTTTAGTGTGTGTCGGACTTGCATACCTGAACAGATGGCAGATACTGACTTGAATTACAAACTCAGGTTTATTTGGAACCCAATAAAAGGTTGGGAGAGGCAGGAAAGAGACATGTATTTTTTGTGAAAACCCAGTAAATATGTGTAAGAATCAGAATGAAAACTGAAATGTTAAATCTTTTATTATATTTATAGAGAATATATGAGTATGACACTGCTAAAACATAACCATGTATCCAGCTTAGACAGTAGCTATGTACAGTCAAACTGCAGTGACCATAGAAGGGACTTACTGAGATACAGTAGTGGAAATTCCAGGGGAAAAAATTGTATTTGTTATCATTATTAAATATATGTCCTTTTTGAACAAGTTTGCCATGGACTGCTGACTTTGTTTGCCAGGCCACTATGTAGCAAGGATTATCTAAGTACAAGAACAACCAGAAAGACGGTGAGGTGACAAGAGGATTGCCAGCACCTTTACCTTCACCCGTTAAAGACTATCCCTTTGAATCTGGCTGCAGGCTTGCCTGTAAACCCTAAGGGAGCTAAAAGGCACAAGGTGAGATTTCCCTTGCTTATTATTAACCCTCTGCCAGTTGTGGATCTAGTCTCTGGTCGTTATCCAAGCTGTTTGTCACCAGTGGAGGCTGATAGGTATCTCCAGTTCTTCCCACCTTAAAACAGAGGTCCCAAACGATGGGAGTTAGTTGCTCCTCAGCAATGCATAGCTGTATCCAGATACGAGGGAGGGAATAGGGTCTTCCAGTTCAGATGAAAACCCAGCTTTCAGACAGCCGTAGGAAGTCACCCTGACATAAACAAAAGCATTTGCTGATGAGCTTTCTGCACCTCTGAAGTTAATGTCTTCAAGTCATAGGGACAAGTCCTACCTTTGCTAAGCTTAGCACAGCCATGTAAACTGGCCATCAGCCTCACAGCTTCAGTTGGGGCATTTCTGTTGTTGATCCCGCAATTCTCCTAAGTAGTTTCTTCCTCCTACTACCTTTGTACGAATGTTTCCTAAAACAATTGATCCAAAGACCTCCCAAATCCACTGAGATCTTTTTCTGGTGTTTGCAATAGGCTTGGCACTGAACCTGTAATGACCCTGTTTGAGAGATCTGAAAATATGCTTCAGGATTTGCGCTGGGGAAAAGAGCACTGCTGAGCTTTGGATGCAAGATGGAAGCACTGTGGCTTTATGGGGCCTTTCTGAGGTGCTGCTTATGTGCAGAACCCAATGGAGTTGATGGAGCAGTTGTGAAACACTTAAAAGGTGTTTTGGCAATTAACTGATCACTGGACAGCAGTTCAGGATCCATATTGATAAAGTGATTTTGTTCAGGCTCTTCTGCCTGGACAAATATGTGTCAAATTTGTTCAGCAAGACGAACACGTATCAGCATCTGTTGCTAAAGGTCCTGTAAATGAGCTGATAAATATTAAAATTCATAAGTATGCAGGTTTACAAATCCTAAAAGTAAATATCAGTTACTTTGGTACTTTTGCACTTGACATCACTTGATCTTTGCAACAAAATCCCTTAGTCTGTAGCTGCAGAAAGGTTGGGTTGGGTTTGCAGGAGACTTCAAAGTCTCCAGCATGCCAGTAAGATGGTTTGTCAGCCACTCCCTGGAGACGGCCCAGCACGAATCTGCCCAGGCCAGCACTGTGGCAGTGGTTAACGTATGGCAGAGGGGTGAGGAGAGGAGGGAAGTCTCAGCGATCAGTATAGCTTTGCTGTGCTTCTGCCAGGAAGACTGTGTCCATGGCAGAGCATGAGGCTGGTGGGTGAACTCCCAGCGTGTTGCTGGGTCTAGGGCTGCTGCTTGTGGCAAGGGAGTTTTAGGGTGGTACGGATACGCCTCTTCCACAACTGGCGTGAGGAAAAGCTCCAACTCAAGAGGAAGGGGACCTTTTATTTGCTTATTTGTCATTAAGCTTTAAACTGTACTGTTCGAAGCATCCCAAGCTCACAAGGGCCTTGCTTATCAAGAAGTAAGGAGAAATTTCAGGGACACTATTGCCATGTGCAGTAGTTTCGAGTTTGCCTGCCTCTTCCCTGCTTTTTTAATGCTCGGTGGTCAGTTTTCTCTTTTGTTTCCCCCTCCATGTAGCTTCCCTGGAGCATAACAAAACTGCCGGGTACAGCACCGGGGCCTGTTTTTCCTATTAAAATGTTATCACAGCTCTGTGGACTG